GTGGCTGTGCAGCAGAGCCTCATGTCCATGGGAGGAGAAGGCATCCTCGCTGGTCTTTTCTGGAGATACACCGAGGACCCAGCGTCCACAAGGAAGCCAGCAGGAGACTGAAGCTCTCAGTGCAGCTCCGGATCATGCCAATACAAAAGGACACATTGAGAACAAAGAGTGTCTGGGTTAATAGTTATATTCTGTCAGGAGAACTGAAATGCATTTTGGCTGGAATCCATCTATGGAAAATATTTTCATTTAAAAGATTGAATCTTTTACTGAATCACTGCATATCACCTTTTTCGTTATGCTAGGATTTTACTTACTAGCAGGTTTATTTTTTTTTAAGCGTGTGTCCCGCTGGTATTTATTCCCCTTTTTTAATCTGTTGGTCAGATGGGTATTTCCCTGAGAAAAGTTAACCCTAGAGGCAACACCAACCCTTCCCACTTTCTGGCAGGTCATTTGCTGGCACCAGGGAGATAGTGGGGGCCTGAGAAACGCAGAGGCGAGTGCCCTGCCCAAGAGGGAGAGGGGCAACATGTAAATCCAAGCATCAGGAAGGCACCAAAACACAGGAGCTGGCTGGGGGAACTTGTTGCTTCTGTAGGATCTCGTCCCTGCTGTCGTACTTGTTTGGCTCTGCTGCCGTAATTAAATTAATTAAAGCAATGCGGCTCTCAGCTTTGGCTGCTGCTATAATAGCACAAAGCAGCTTTGACACCAGTAATACTATTTTCGCACGAAAAGAGGACTAACGTTATCAATGTCAGGCACATCTGTCCCAATATAACTGAGCCGATGCTCTTTCTTCAGCTGCCATAATTGCAGGTAAAACATCGCGTCCCCACTGCAAAGCATGGGAGAGGCTGAACGGGTGGGTTCAGGGCAGCCCCCAGGAGTTTCCCCAGCAAGATTAGCTGCACTGAGAAGAGTTGAAAGGACTGAGGAGAGAAAATCAGTATTGAAAGTTTAATGAAGTTAGGAGGATAGTTGGTCAGCCAGCACTGAGCCCCAAGCTCCACTGGTTGTTGGATAAAGGCCTTTTAAAGGCAGACAAGGAAGAGCTACGGCCGCAGCGCAGACAAGGGGCAGAGGACGCCTGATCCAGGCTGTGCTGGGAGGTCTGACTCCTCGCACGCACCCAGCTCCTCCAGGGTCATGATACGTCCAGGCCTGGGGAACTGATCCAGGCACTCAGGAGAGTGGGACTCTGGCCGCACGGGTCATGGCAGTGCTCGTCTCGCCGCTCTCCTGCACGTGCATGAGTGTGCAAGAGCCAGCGTGGTCCCGTGTGGTCAGGAGCCTGTCCCATCCTGCTCTTGATGAAAGGTTCTTACTGGTGCCTATTAAATCAAACCATGATGCTCAGCACCGACCTTAAATCTGACCTAGAAAGACCTACATCTGTCAAGGAGCAAGAAGCAATCCCACAAAATCCTCAGCTTCCTACTTAAGAGCAGAGGCTAGTTATCCATTTGCCTTCTGCCCTGAGCGCTCGCTCAGATGGGGATCGATGCAGTAATTGGGACTCGAGGAATGAATCGCTAAGGTAGCTCAGCTCTGCAGTCCTGTGCCGACCCAGCAGCAGCTCTTCCCTCCCATTCCGAAGGCTGCAACCTGGCCCCAATGAGGACGAGGGTTCCTGCTCCCGGTGAGACATCTCGCTCCCTGCTTCATTACCCACCGCCCAGAATATCGATGTAGCAGGACGGTTCCTCCCTCCCCTCGCCCTCTGGCAGAGGTGCCACTCCTGCCATTCCCATAGAGGCAGAGAAAGGACCCCAGTCCCAGCTCCTCACATCCCATATGGCTGCGGACGCAGGGGTGGGACGCAGTCTTCACTGCGTAACCGCTTCTTCCAGCAAGCTCCCCAGCGAAGGACACTGCGGTTAGTTTTCACGGCTCTGGATACTTCCCATGGCAGGAAGCGGCCTGACGGCTGCTGTCCTCCGGCAGCTGCATCGTCTGGTCAGCCCGCAGGGGAAGCGACGGGCTTTATCTCAGATCTGTCACTACTGTTGAAGAATTGTAATCAGTCAGCGCAGGCATGCTGCAACAGAAGAGCCAAATTCTCTGCTCACCTACCTCTACCGACCTCGGTGCAGTTGCACCAGGGAGAATCCACCCCCTTTGCCCCGCTGCGGGTACCGCTCCCTCTTTACCCATAAGCATTTGACCTTGTCATTACAATCATCGAGCTCTATACAATCGAATCCTCCTCCTCCTCCTCCTCCTCCTCCTCCTCCTCCTCGTTGCATGCGAGGCCGCCTGCGTTGGCCGGTGTGTGCGGGACACGCTCTCTGCCGGGAACGCGCGGCCCTGCAGCATCTCCACGCCACCACTGCCGTGGGAAGCAGCCGCAGCCTGGTCCCGGGTGGGTGTACACGCCTTGGCGTGCAGGACAGACGAGTCACGCCATACTGCTCGGCGTTTGGCAGCTACGGAGGAAGCCCGTGTGCTGGTTTTGTGGAGGGGACTCCCGTTTAGGAGGCAGATGGTGCCAGAGGGTTTGTGGGTGGGAAGGTGTTGTTCCAAACACAGCCTCAGCCACCACCAGCTTTGTCTTGCAGTCGGGGTGTTTCTGCAATATGGAAAACTGTCACCACGGCTCCCCCCAGAAAAAAGAGCACTCAACAGGCGAGGAAGCAGGTTGCGAGCGCAGCCACAACCGATGCTACGAGAAGTGGCAGTCATCCCACAAGCAGCCTCTCAAAATGCTCCGCGAACCGCACGCATGAGCATAGCCAACACCTCCACCCTACACAGCTACCCTTGCGGGAGGGTTTGCTGATCAGGCCGTGCTAGCTGGGCTCGGTAGCAGTTTGACAGGTGTGGGGAAGGACAAGGATGGCCTTCTCCACTTGAAATCAACGGCTATGTAAGCAGACAGGAGAACTAGCAGCCACACGTGCCAGGGCTGAGCGAGGTAGCTGGAGATGACATCAGGTGGCAAATGTTCCTGGACCTTCAAAGCATCTCAGTTTGTATGGAGGAGGAATCATCCCACTCACCTGGCTGTGGACCACAGGGTCTCACTGTCGCAGGAGATGTGGGGGCCAGACCTGCTCACAGACGAAGCAAACAGATTCACTGGGCTACGCTGGACACAGTCAAAACCTGTAGCTCAGCTGTGGTGCCTGGAAGCAAGGGATTGGATAGGGGCCTGACCAGGAATGGTCTTTCTCATAGCAGTACCAGCTACTGCACCACCACCAAAACCAGCACCTCGCTTGAAACATGGTGTTCCCTGACCTGACCAAAATCAGGCTGGGCTTGCAAGGTGGGATGGGCTGGATGAACACGGAGTCAGGCGCCTATGACCGCATCTGCAAGGAAGCTCCTCTCCCTGATCGGTGCCTGGGTTGACCCAGCCTTAGTAGTGCCTGCGTCTTGAGAGCTATCAGCCTCACCATCCCAGGTGTGCCTGGTGCAGGTCGTTGCGGAGGTAACCCAGCTCTGCGGCAGCGAGTCTTTCTGGAGCTGATGCTCCCAGGCGCCATGAAATGCCCCGCTTCTTGTGAGGAGCCCTTGGACCAGCAGAGAGACCCATCGTTAAGGAGATGGGAAGGAGGATGGTACAGCGACGGGGCTGGCCAAGCCTTGCTGCGGGCTGCTTCGATAGAAAAGCAATCACTCCCGCTCCACCTAAAGGCCTGTGATTTAATCCCGAGGGAACCAACAAGGGGAGATCCAAGATAAACAACATCTGTGCATTCACAAATAGGAAATGGAGTTCCTTTCATGTCCTGAGCCTGTTGATTAACCAGGGTTATTGTTTGGCTTGGCGCTCGCTGCTCGGTGACTTGGAAAGAAGGTAACTAAAAGGGATCGTTTGGTTACACTCCCTAAATTCAAGTTTCTTTAAATAGTGCACAGCTTTGTATTTTTCCTGCAGAAGACTGATGGGAAAAGGTAGCAGAAGAGTGCAGATGGCTATCAGAAAGGAACCTGTGTTTAGTCTGCTTGTGCCAGATGGGAATGGAAAGTTCGCTCCCTTGCCAAGTGTTTAAAAGAGGAAATAGGATGTGATATTCTGCCTCCCACTCCTTTCTCTCCCCTGAAACCAGCTCGCTGCTCTACTTCCATTTGTTGTAAAAAGGAAAAAAAAAAATGCTGCTTGGCCCACGTAAAGCCTTGGAGACGGTTAGAGACACACCTCGTTCCTTTTTAATGTGTTTATTATGTGGAGATGGATGGAACAGTGTATTTTTGTACGCAGCTGTGTCCAGCACTGCGCAGCACCTGTCTGTCAGTCTCTCATATTCATCTGCGTAACAGAAACAAAACTGCAGATTCCCGAGCCACATAGATTCTCTGCTGTCGTCTCCCTGTCTCTGGAAAGGAGGAGGTGAACTTCTACCACCGCTCAAGGTTCATGTCAGACACTTCTGCTGACAAACCTACCTGTGAGATGGACCAAAACTTCTCGCCTGAAGCTCCTGTGATTTCCCCTGGTTAGTCAACCCCGGTCTGCCCTGAGCCTCGGCTGCCTGGGGGACTTGTGGAGCGGTGGAGGCTGAGATCGTGTGGGGCTGAGGCTGGTTTAGGGCATTGTTTCAGGGAGTCCCAGGGGTTAACCCCAACACTGCCCTGTTGTCTTGAGCCCTGTAGCAATCTCAGCCACATAGTGTACATCAGTAAACTCTCAGGTTAATCTCCGAGATACCTCATCAACGTGGATGACGTGGATGACGTGGATCACAAAATCAAAAAGCAGCTTTGGGCAGAAGCGAACCTGGTCCAAGGTCTCCTGTCCAGCCCCTGCTTGGAGCCAGGCTGACCTGCGAAGCTGGAGAAGGTTGCTGAGGTCTGGTCCAGCTAAGCTATGAGCACTTCCCAGAGCAGAGACACCACCGCCTCCCCAGGCACCCATTCCAGGGCCTTACCATCCCCGCCATGAACATTTTTCTTTCTCTCTAACTAGAACTTCCCTCACTGCAACTTGCACCTGTTGCCTCTTGCTATGTGCCTCCAAGAAGAGTCTGGCTCCACCTGCTCAGCAAACCCTGTAGGTGGTGGATGATAGTATTTAGATCCCCACATTGCTTCTTCCTCTCCAGATGGGACCAACCCACCTCCAAGCAACTTAAAACAATGTCCTAATTGCAATAATACCCACCCAGCTGGTCTCAAGCATGGGCATTTCAGCAGTGTCCTACAGCTGTAACTTCTGTAGGCCGGCTTTAATCACTTATTTTCCCAGACAATTAAAGAACGTTTGTATGTGTCCTGGTTTCGGCTGGGACAGAGTTAGTTTTCCTCCCAGTAGCTGCTGTGGCTTGGATTTAGTACCAGAAGAATGTTGATAACACTGATGTTTTTAGTTGTTGCTATGAAATCAAGGTCTTTTTCCAGTTTCTCATATTTTGCTGATGAGCAGGGGTGCAGGAGCTGGGAGGGAGCACAGCCAGGCAGAGAGCCCAAGCTGGCCAGTGGAAATATTCCATGCCATGGACATCATGCTCAGTTTAGGAATGGGGGTTGGCTGGGGGGCAGGGAGTTTTCCGCTCTACTTGTTTTCCGTGAGTTCAAATCCTTTCTTGTCCAGGAGTGTGAACTTTTCTGGGAGTTCACTCTTTTTCAGGACCTTTGCAAATTTTGCAAAGGTTGTGAGTTTTTGATCACTGCTCGGGGACTGACTGCGAATTGGCCATCAAGTGGTGACAAAATTGTGCTGTGTATAGTTTGTTTTACATACTCATGATTATCATTACTATTATCAGTAGTAGTAGTAGCATTTACTTTGTTGCCTTATTAAACTGTCTTTATCTCAACCCGCGAGTTTCCCCTTTTGTCCGTCTCTCCTCCCCATGCCGCTGATGGGGAAGGGGAGGGGTGAGCGGCTGTCTGGTGCTTAGGTGCCAGCTGCTGGGTTAAACTGCGACAGTAAGAAGCTTTTTTGTAGAGGCAAACGGCCTCGTGCTCCAGCCCCTCCCTGTGCACACCCAGCAAGGAAGCTGTGGCCGAGCGCAGCAGCAGCGTGTGTAACAGCGGAGGCATCAGGAGAACAGCAAGCATGACTTTTATCACGTCTTCCCGCACAGTCCCCAGCCCACCCCGCAAACACGCCTGCCCCGTTCGCAGAGCCACGGGGTGCCAGGTCTGGTGTGGTTGTTATTCCTGCCTTGTTCTCACGGGGAAAGCAAGGAGAAGGCCTCCCTCTCGCCCTGGAGAGAGGTGCTGTTCCTTGTCTTGCCAGGGAACAGGGTGCCCTGCCTCTGCTCTGGGAGGACTCGAAGCTCCCCTGTGCAGGGTGCAAGGGAGGGGACAGAAATAAGCCCGCCCAGGACACGTGTGACGACCTGCCTCAGACAGGCAGGGAATTCAGGTGGAGACTGGTGAGACCAGTTTAGCAGAGACAGGATCCCAGCAGAGGAGGGGAGAAGGAAAGGCAGGAACAGGGAGAGATGAAGGAAAGCTGGCTGGGTGGCTCTGACCTGACTGGCAAGAAATGCAAGCTGTGATGTCAGGACAGGGCTGGGTTTGCATGGGGACAGTTGTGGGGGAGACGCTGTGAGGAATGGCCAGGCAAAGGCCAGCCTGACCCCCTGCGAGTGCCTGCCTTCAGCAAAGGCAGGGCACAGGGAGGCAGGAGGCAAGCTGTACCCCCAGTCTGCCAAGGAGCCAGCGAGGTTCCCATTCCTTCTCCTCTTCCTTGCCCGTAAGAGGCAGGGAGCAGTGCTGAACTGCAACCCGAGCGGTGTGGAGCCCTGCTGCTGTGCAGGAGCCAGCTTTTCTAAGCAAGGCTCCCCAGGTCATGGCCACCTTGAAGCTGCTGGATCACAGAATGATAGAATGATTAGCGTTGGAAGGGACCTTTAGAGGTTATCTAGCCCAAGCCCTCCACAGTGAGCAGGGACATCTTTAACTAGATCAGGTTGCTCAGAGCCCCATCCAACCTGACCTCGAATGTTAAGGTTAAGGATAGGGTTGAAGGTTAATGACCTTGGATGGTCACATCCCCTCGACAACCAGCAGCGTCTCGCTCCCCAGCTGCACGCCTTGCTGTCAGGTATGGAAAGGTAAAATGTTCCTGGTTGCGCTGGGCTCCTGAAAGGTAAAGTCCTGGTTAAGGAGAGCTCGCGACAAGCAATTTGACAAGCCGTTAGAAACACAGAGAGCAGCGGCAGCTGAGCGGGCTGCATCAAGGCACAAGTGGGGAGCCAAGCGGGGCTGCTGCTGGCTGCACTGATGCAGGGAGGGATTTAGCCCTAAGAGTCTTAGTGACGCATCTTGGGAGACTTAGGCTGAGCCCGGCTTGCAGAGACGTGACCTGTGCTGCATCTCCCGTGGTCACCTGCCAGTCGGCATTACGCGAGCTGTCACCTGCTCCCGGACCAAACACGTGAGCACGGTGGCACGGGGGCTTGGGTGACAAGGAGGGGGGAACCAGCCCAACCCCCTACTGGGTCCAGCCTTGCAGCTGCACCGAGGCTGCTGAGACAGGACATGGGATGAGTCCCGAAGGACGAAATCCACTGCTTACAGCTGGCAGGGAACCAGCGGGCAGTTTGCTGTTGCTTTAACTGGGAAGAGGATTTAGCGCAGGGACCCCTCATCTCTCAGTCATCAACAGGAGGGTCCTTCCCCCTGCCCTGGGGCAGTCAGCATTTAGGGTGGGGGAGAGCCAGGCTGAGCATTGGCTCCTTTTTGGCCCATATTCAGAAGAACTACAATATAAGCCACTGCAAACAAAGCAGCAAAGACCAAGGCAGGATTTAATGACATGTTGTTAATGATAATCCCATCCATAGGTGTATTTTTATAGCTGGGGAAAAAGAAAAGGAAAGTAAATGAATTACTTTGACTTGCAAAAAAAGGCAGCCCCAGGGCCAGCAACAGCATTCGGAGCAAGGAGCACCCACAGAGAGCACCCAGGTAGTTTTCGCCGTCTGGGTTTGCACACACGGAGCCTGTGCACCCCAAGAACCGACCTGACTTCGGTGACCATGTTCAGCTGAGATGAAAGTTGAAATAAGGCCGACTGTAATCCCCAAGAAACCAGGCCACTCTCAGGACTCGGGACAATCAGGTCCCATTAAAAAGCATCTGCCAGGCTGATGTCCCGAGGGTTTCATTATCTTTCTTAGCTAGAAGTCATCGGCGAGGACTGATCTCCTGTGGACTTTGGAAGGAGATCAAAAGTTGCTGCATGGCAGCGTCGGCACAGGGCAGTTTCAGGTGCAGCAATGTTCGTTTTCCAGATTTCCTGGCTCCCAGAGACAACAGGCCGGTGCCTTTGGCAGGTAGTATACTCACCTTCGTCACTGAATGACATGGAAACGTAGGAAGAGAGATCTGACAGTCTTGGAAGTGAAGAGTGAAGTGCTTGAAGTACTCGTTACAGCACAGGGCACAGCTAATAAGCAGCAAAAAGGACACCATGAAAATGCCCGCTGTTGTTTGTTTCTTTCTTCGGCGTCCATTTGTCTTTTGGCTACTGCAAAGTCTCCGAGCCATAATTAGGAACGAAAGTCTTTGCAAGAGTCCCCAGATCTAATTGAGCTCTCTTGAAACTAAACCATTTATAACAGCCTCCTGCAAGGACAA